TGGGGGGGGCGGGGTGGTTCCCTTTCAGCCTTTGAAGGGGTGATTTTATGCAGAAGCAGCAGAAGAAGAAGAAGAGGAGGACGAGGACGAGGAAGAGCAGGCGGAGGAGGAAGAAACGGCGGTCAAGGTTGGTGGAACAATGGTGGTGGCGGTCTCTCTCTCTCTCTCTCTCCCTCTCGCGCGCGCGCGCGTGCCAAGAACCAAAATGAAGAAGAGAGAAGAAAGAAGAAGAAGAAGATAAGAAGAAGAAGAGCAAGAATAAGAAAGTAGAAGAGGAGAAGAAGAAGAAAAAGAAGAGCGTTGAAAAAAAATACTGCCTACGCTTACCTTCTCCTATTCACCTCGTAGTTTCTCGTGGGCCATAGGCGGCCAGAGCTGTCGGGCATTGCGATGCGGCATGGTGGCTTCTGCGGTGGCATGCTGGCGCTCGTGGATGGCGTTCGTGGCGATGCTGCAGCACGACGTCGACGTCCCCGGGAATGAGTGCGACATCAACGCACTGCATGCCAATGCCGAGGGGGAGCAGGGCTGCTAGGGGGAATGGGCGTAGGGTGAGGGGGATCCTGCGCGTTTCGAAATTCGAAACGCGGCCTATTTCCGCCACCGATCTCCCTGATCTGCGGCTATTGGCCCGGTTTTGGAATGTGAGGGCGGCGGCGGCCTCCCAGTTGGGGGAGGGTCCCCCGGTCCATCCGGGGACCAGCCCTGGTTGAAACCACTTATTCCGAAACTTTTTCAAGTGTATATTATTGTGCTTTGAGTGGAACTTCAAATTTGCACTGTTCATGGACACCGCTCAAGCTTGTGTGAATGTCATCTGAATGTTGGCAATTGGATGTTGTATTTTGGGTTGAATCTTGCAAGGTTCATTGCACTGACCACGAATGACTGGATAATAGACCATAGTAATGTAGAACAGCAAGGGCGGGCAGTGCCATGGTGCAGAAGATGCCTGCAGGCCTTCCCTGTGCAGAAAATGACTGAGAGGATAGAACACATATTTCTACAGTGTCCCTCCTCAGTGCTGACATGGTTGTGGTGGGACAGAATCTGGCGGAAGATGGTCCTGGGAGTGGAGGGCATTGCTAACAGGATACCTCCCCCAGTTTCAGGATAGGGCCTTCAAGAAAAACATGTTCAGACTGGGGAGACTATCCATCCTCTGGGTTTCATGGTGGTAAAGGTGCATCATGGAAATGGAGGGAGTGAGGGTAGACGGGGGGGAGGTAACATAGCAGATCAAACTGCTGGTCCAGACAGAAATCATCAACCAGTGGCACAAGGCACAGCAAAAGATGGAATTTGTCCACACAAAGGACTTGGAGGAGATTATCTCCCGTTTCTGTAAGGGCTGGCTGAGGGGAAATCCTGGTGGCTGGATGGCGGAAGTTAAGTGGTCAGAGGAGGGGGCCAGGCAGGAGGAAGGAACAGAAGGAAGACGAGGGGGAGAGGCAGGTGAAGAGGGAGGTCGGGCGGGGGATGGCGTGGTCAGGGATTTCCAGCTGCATTTACACCAATGGACGGTGATGGACCCGGGAATGCCACTGAGACCTCCGTCAGACTTTCCGGATCTCTTCCCTCCACATGCTTTGGCTCTAGTTGAGCTCCCGCAAAATGAGGACAACTGATAACCTATGAACCTCCCATCAGGTGTTTAAGCACAACACAGCAAAAGATAGCCATTATTTTGGAACGCAGGAAATGCTAGTGCCCCCTGGCACCCCTGTTGCCCTCCAAAACCCGGGTGATCACCCCCAGGCTACTATATCATGGGACTCTGGACCCAGTTTCCAGCAGGGGAGGGATGATACAGTAGAGAGTGATAATCGGACGCTGCACCCCATTTCCAGCAGGTTTTTTTTTGGTGGGATGGAGATCACCAGGATGTATTAAGGGACGCTGGACCCAGTTTCCAGCAGGTGCTGCTCCCCACCAATAGATTGGAGCACTGGACCGGGCTACTAGGAGGGGGCACACGGATCACCTTCCTAGCAGCGGGCCCCACCCTTTTTGTGAAAAAAAAGAAGGGAGAAAAAAAAAAAAAGAGAAGATGCAAGAAAAGGGACGGAAATTCAGAAGAGCGGATTCTAAGAGCAGGGGAAGTCCAGCGACGAGGAGGAGGCTGGGGAATTGAGACTGCAATGCCAATGGTGCGGGGGTAGAACAGGAGGACATGGGGTGGAATGAGGTTGTTACATTGGAGGTATGGCCCGTATGGGGCAAGAAGATAAAGAGGTGGGGTAACTGAGATTCCAAGGACAGGTCAGGGAAGAAGAGGAGGATGTCATGTACCTGATTGAACCTCAGTCCACAACGAATTCACACGTTCCCACACACGCATGCGATTGCAGAGTAGAGTCGAAGGAGGCAAATCCACACAAAACCGGAGAGAAGATATGCACAGCGGAAGCTCGAAATACACAGAAAAACGAATTTCAATTCTGTGATCCCCCGTCCTCCTCCAATCAATCCAAAGTACTTGTTCCAAGAATCACAACCACGTTTACAACAACCCCGAACAACCAAAAACAAGTGTTCAAGCGAAGTCTACAGGAGTCTTCTTCTTCCTCCTCACCACCGCATATCCGTGGCTATGGCTGCCGTAACAGCAGTAACCCCACAGCTGTCACAACCTGCCAGTCTGAACCAGCAACCCCAATTATAGCAGCGCCAGCTCAGCACCTGCACGGAAGTGCAGCGCTGGAAGTCCTGATGAAGAAGGAGACAACCGATCCAGCACTTCGAAGAAGACAAAAACGAAGTTCCTCATGAGGAGGAACAGCAGATATGGCTGCCAAGTGGAGAATGGCAGCACCCAAACCCAACAACACAGCCCTGTGGAAGCTCTCGTGCAGAGCTGCTGAATAGCAGCAGTGCGGTCTCCAACTCTGTGTCCCAGGCCCTGCTATGGCTGGGCTTCGAGGAAGAAGATGTCCTTGCCCAAAATAACGCAGCAGCACTCCGGCAACGAAAGGGCAGAGTTTCCCCAGCAAAAACAACGAGAAAAGACCCGAACCCAATTTCCCGCCCGCTACTTCTACCCTCTGCCTAGACCTACAACGGACTCCCCAGGCAAGACTCATCTGTATCTAGATGGGAACAAGGGAAAAGGGGACCTAAACCTATAACAAGGCAAAAGGAAAAGGCTGAATGGCCTAGGACTACCAAACAGAGACTACTAGTAACAGACTCAGGGATCAAGTCCCATAGGGCTCAACACTCACAAACAAAACACACAGGTTACAGGTTGCGGGGTCAAGTCCCGACAACAACGACAGGGACAAAATTAGTGTACAGCCCGCTTGTAGCACTGCAATTCATTGCAAGGGGACATCGGAGGGGGTTGTAACAGCACAGTGTGGATGGACAAGAGGAAAGTCAGGGGGTGAGGTGGGGGAATGGGATGAAGAGAAGACAATGAGAGGGCAGGGTTGAGGGTAGAGAAGGGGAGAGAAGGTATAGGAAGGGGGAGTGTTGGACGTAGGGGAGGAGGGTGGGAAAGAGCCAGGTCCAGGAGGTATGAAAGAAAGGGTACGACTGAACAGGGGAAGGGGCGTAGAGAAAGAAGCAAACTGCACTATGTGGGGAGGGTTAGGAAAAAGCCGGCTGTGGGAGGCACACTATGTGGCTCGATCGTTTTGTCGTTTTCTTTTTTTCTCGGTTTTTTGTATCTGTATGTGTGTGTGTGTGTGCGTGTGACACAGAGAGAGAGAGAGGGTGGGGGAAGGGGGAGAGAATGGGGAAGGAGAGCGTTAGGGGGCAGTCGGCAGGGGTTAAAAGGCACAAAATTGCGCAGGTTTTTTGTTTTCTTTTTTTTTCATCTTGTGTGTGTGTGTGTGTGTGTGTGTGTGTGTGTGTGTGTGTGAGAGAGAGAGAGAGAGAGAG